CCACACACACACACACAAATACAAAAACCAAACATCAAAACTTTCCATTATCCCCTTTTGAACACAATTTGACTGGGCTATGAGATAGTTTCTAGAGCAAAGCAGATTATCATCTATTAGATAGCTAGGATACATGGCAGTGCTGCGATTTGCTACAAGATAATTTAACGCCAATATCTGCATTTGCTCCACATGTTTAGGTAGAAAAAACAACAACTGTATAATCAAATTTACGATTTCTGAACATTTGTTAATATCAAAGATGCTTTATATTGCTTGGATATTCATTTATAAACAGGTCTGTTCCCCCCAACTTGTAGCCGGTAAAGATGGTTCAAGACAGCTACTGATAACTGTAGTGCCTCTGCCCGGGAGGCGCTAGGGGATCCCGTCGGTGACAGGATTGGCGACACTGCCTTGTGAGTTAGGTCGAATTCAGACGTTGTCTGGAGAGAATTCTAGCGGCTGGCTGCTCTGATCGGTAGTTTTCTGTGGTTTCTGTTATCAACACCAGGCGAATGCCGGAGCAATACCCTAACAAACGGGCCGCGGACACTCACATTGTTTCCTTCCTCTTCCTCCTTGTCCTTTCCTCATCCCTTACCTAGACTTACGGCACTACCACGCATGTCGGTAGCTGAATGGGGCCACGCTGGCTGGGGAAAATCCCCGCAAGTCGACGTAGGTCGCCAGCTGGCGGGACATCACCGCCACATCCCGTGATAAAGAAAGTGCACTATACTTACGGGACTAATGACCTTAGTAGTTGACGCGTCCGGAATCACCAATCAATCAATCCTACTTGTATCTGTTCTAGTAGTTCTATCTCGCCCCGCTCGGCCTTGTTTTGCCCTGTACCCACTGCCGAAGTCTCGGTCTACATCACTCACTTTCTATCTACAATAATAAATCTATACTAAAGAACAGTGAATACTTATTTCTACGCATGTATGAAATTTTATTTATCACAGCAATACAATAAAGCACACTTCCCACCAGAAACCATGGAATCTCTCAGTTTTAGCAGCCAGACTTACAACATTCATGTTTCGCTTTCGCCCTTGCACTCCACAAGTACTTAAAAAGAAATCGTGCTTAATTTACTACAACTAAACCAAGAATAATTAAACAACAAACGTGTGTGTTTTACTTTGCCTTATACATACTATAATATATATACTAAAATAATGGTATCTGAAAATAACACATTAATTCTTTATTCTCCCACTATTGAAGTAAGAATGTGTATGATATGGCTAAAGTTCAAAATATGGTTAATTCCTGAATTAGTAAGTTAATTCATACATTATCCAGATGGTATGGAAAAACTTATATTACTCTCAGTGACTGGATCATTTCAGTTATCATCCAGTTAATGTTGGCATTAGCCATAGGGCTCTGGTTAAAGAAAGATCAATGTTTGAGTGAGCCTTATGTAGGTCCACAAAAAGTACCTATTTTGGCAAAATTTTGTGCTGGAAATTAAACTCCGCAGGACTGCACACTGCTCTGATTCACGGTTCTTTTATGTAAACACAAAGATCAGAGCCTTCTCGCCCCAAATCGGAAATGCACCATTGGAGGTATATAGTGAGTTTATGTTTCATTAGGTGATATTGTGTAAATAGGAGTTTACATCTGCAATAGAGGAACTTCATTTGGCACACAATATCTCTCCCTAACTTTAGAAACATCCCACCAGCAGTCCAATTCCTGAACATCACATTTTTGCTATTCCTCATCTCTGTAACTTCACCTACCTTAGCCACCTCATTTTAGCTAATGTGCATAACATTCAGACAAATTTAAACTTGCTTCAAAGCTGCTCCTACTTAATACTTCAACCATCCTTATTAGATAATGTGAAAATTAATCTGCTAATTTGTGAATTATCCATATTTCAATATTAACCATGGCATATGCACAAAAATTCATGATTGGGTGAAACAAAAGTTAACATCTGTTCTGCTCTTTGCATTTAAAAGTTACAATCCTTCTTTCACTCATTAATGTCAATAATACTTATTTCCAGCACACAACATCATGGCTTCCTTTTACCTACTGCAAGGGCCAACATTTTGACATCATACATAGCAAAAAGCTAACATGTTACAATACAATAAAACCACTATTTAATGTCATAAATGGGGCAAAAATCTTAAATGTGGGATCAGTAATTTCAATAGCAAAAAGTACACAATTTTAATAATATACAATTTACTTTTATTTTCATTTTATTTCTTTTTCATCTATTTTATTTACTTTTACTTTTATTTTATTTTTAAAAGGCTTCAGTAAATGAAAGTTTCATTGAATGCTGAACTTAATGGTACATAAAACTTGAAGAAAAACATTTCACAGCCACTTTGCAGGAATTCTAAACCACTTCGATAAATATCTTACAGAATCATTTCATTTTGACTGAATTGATTGAACAGCACCTCAACAGGAGGAAAGGAAAGGAAGAAGAATGAAACTAAACACTAACAGTAGCCACAAAGAGTATACCATATAAACATTCCCTAATTGCAATGACTTATGGTAAAAAAGGACTTCTTCATGCATTATAAACACAAAAGCTTGAGTAAGAACTGTTTTCACTATACTTCCAACTTTATCCTAAAATGAAATGACAGCAACAAAACAATATTCAATCTATTCTCCCCAAATCCAAAATGAATGAACTTTAATCTTCCAGAAATTATTTTCATTTCACTCCCTAGAAATATTACTAAGCAATATTCGATTTATCTCTTCGAGAATACACACTCAAAAGTTTTTCATGATACAGAATACAACAAAAGCTCTCCCAAAAGCGACAGAATGTACTCAACCAGTTTTTGAGCAGAAATGTACAATGCTTACTCAACTTCAATGAGAAAAATATATTTTTGGAATTCTGTAGGAGATTCACATAATTAATTAATTGCAAAGGATATGTGTTCCATTGCTCATGATGTCTGCATAAATGCTGCACAACACCAGAGGTCAAAGCCTGGCAGTGTTGTGGTTTTCTTTGAACCACTTCACAGTATCTTGAATAGCAAGCGAGAAAGGGGTAAATTTGAAATCAGGAAGAAATGACCTCAATTTCCCATTGCTGGCAGTCTTCTTGTATTGTCCATCAGCTTTACTAGTATCATAATTCAGTTGGCCTTTGAATTCAAAAGCTTTGGCGATAAGGTTTGCAGCGTCACTTATGGACACCTCATCAGCTTCGTCCACTGTGTGAAAGAAAGTTTTCATATTAAAATTTCGGCTGTCTGTTCAAACATCAAAACAAAAGATCGCTTACCATTTTGAATGAAAAACTAACAACACTTTTACACTTCAAATGCAAAAAGATTAGAGGTTTCCAATAACAAATAAAAGAATCCAGACAACATTAGGCACACATCCATTTACTCAACCAATATAGGTTCAATCTTTTGGTTTTCTTGGCATCACAACAATCACAAAATACATGACAGTAAAGCATTTGAAACCCAATTTGACATAGAGGCAATTTGAACTTTGTTTCCTGTTACCACCATGAACATTTCATTTCAACCTTTGATCTCAATGCTTCATGACATGAACATGTTTTTGAGATGTTTATTCAAACTGTCAGTCAGAATGGCAGTGAAAAGTGTAATGATGGGGTCTAAACAGGAAACTAATGGTGCTGAAGCACTTACGTACTTACATCAATTGCATTGATTATACAATTTTCTAATATTGTAACTTTTATTCAACTAATACTTCAATCATTTAAAAAAATCCTCACTAAACAAAGAGTGGAAGATATAGAAAAAGTATTTGAAAGTCTTGCAAATACTTAAGTTTTAATTCAACTAGCACTTGCACCATGGAATTGAGTATATTGTACTCTATTCATACAAAAAGTTTAAAGCAAACATTTGGGGCCTTTTTTGAGAATATCTTGTTTAATTATTTGCCGAAAATGTCTAGAGTTCACTCAAAATGCAGCAAAATTTATTTATAATTTAAAAAAGTGTATATGAAATTACTATTTTAAGATCTAAAATCCAGGAATAAATTAAATTGAAAATATTTTTTGTCTTCAACAGTAGGAGAAGTGTCTTCAATAGTAGAAGTGTCTTCAATTGTAGGAGAAGGTTCAAAAATTTTTTAACTTCCACAATTATAGAAATATTAATGGTTTTTAAGAAAATCAGTCCTGTGTTGTTTTTTATACATGTACTTTGCTTTATTCGAGCCAAAAATTTAAAGCCATTTTTAAGGGAATTTTGAAAATGGGGCTTATGTTAAGTCAAGTTCCCAAACATTAAATGTGTCTCAAATCACAAGCCACAAATTGGGATAGATCAATCAGGAAATAAAAGACAATTTGGTGAAATCCAGTGTATGGTTTAGACTCTAGCATTGTTCACAGATATATGAACAAATGGTGATTAGAGGAAAATTTTTTTTCAGTAAATGGGACCATCAAATCATGAATTACACAAGCCTGCAAAATTTAAGGGTATCAAAAATTGTTTGAGACATTTCATCCGTAGTTTACAGAATTTGGTATGCAGATTTAAAATATAAGCTCAATTCTTTTCTATTACGCAAGTTTTTTCCATAATGTGTATTTGAGTATATGGAGGGGGGGGGGAATTAGTTGTCATAGAAACATTTGCAAATGAAAATTAAATGGATCATGTGAATGGGTGAAAACTAGCACGATATAAGTGACATTTAATAAATTCTGGGAAAAACATGTTTATTTTAGGCTATATATCAGTAGCAATGTATTTTCTTAGTTTTAATGAACAATTGAAATGCCATGGTTTTAATGATCAAACAAAGCACAACGACTTTACAGTAATATTGACTTAAATTAACAGATTTCTCAGAAATTACAAAATGCCACTTATAGCATTCTGGTTTCAATTGATTCATATTCAAAATTTTACATGCAGAAAATAATTCCAAGAATCCACTAAATTTGTATACCCTATGGTACTGTTTTTGTTTCTCGTCAAAGCTCTGTTTGCTACTTCTCCTTTTGTATGATCCTTGTAGTAATTCTCTGGGTAGCATCCAACAGTAGTCCGCAATCATATTCACGTCCCATCAAACTTAGTATCTGTATTCCATTTCCTTGACATCTTGATGCAATCTTTCACCCTGTTCTTCGCTAACAGCACCAACATTTTTGGGAAAGTACTCCAAATGAGAATATAGGAAATGAACCTCAGGCTCATTAAACAGTCCATATCTTTGAATTTCATTAACATATTTTTCACTATGGACTTAAAATTAGTGCTTATAGTTTTCAAGAAATTTCTGCACGTCTCTGAATGCTTCCCAAGCCTCTTTCTGAACAATTTCCATTTTTGTATCAAATACTTCGTCTTTAAAAAGTTTCCGCATATCTTGATCCATGAAAACGCCTTCTTTTACTTTAGCTTCTGAGAGTCCTGGAGATTTGCTGTGCATGTATTGCACATTTGCACAAATAGTAAACACATTTTTTCTAGCAGCAAGGCCTTCACAAATTGTTTCATTAGTCCAAGCTTTATTTGAAATAGTGGAAAAAACGTTTCTTCGATCAACCAAACTTTCTCGTAAAATATTTTCACTGCCACTTTCTAAATTTATCCTAGACAGGCACTCTCTTTTGATCTAGTGCTGAACCCAATCTCTGATATTCCATAAACACAAGAAGCAGGGAAATTTAGTGAAGCCTCCCTGCTGTCAAAGAAGCATGATTATTACTTTTAGATCATCGCATATCATCCAACTGTGATCCTTGTAATTCAGTTTGAAGAGGATTAAAGCAAAGTTCTCATAGCCTTCTTCATTTGCACAGAATGTCCCACAGGTACTAAAGCTTACTTGTCGCCACTGTGAAGAAGCACTGCTTTGAGAATTCTTTTTGATGAATCAACAAAGAGCCTCCACTTTACATGTCATACTGTACTTTAAACTCAAACAGTCCATTGATATCACTGCAGTAAACCAGATCATTTTCTTATGAAAAGTAAAGTATAAAATTTCTTTCTCTATGCCTAAACCATGAGAAAGATGTGCCAGGAGCTAGTACGTTATTTTCTTTTAACCTAAAACCCAAAAGTTCTCCTGTATCTTTAGAAAGACCTAAGTCTCTAACCAAGTCAATTACAGCTAGCTGTGAAAATAGATTGGAACTAGCACCATCTGTAACTACGAATTCTTCAGCACAATTTTCAGATTCATTGTCAGTGTCATTAGGTACCTTTTCTAATTTATCTGGCGGTGAAGGTACAGGAAAATAGGATCAATGAGATAAGGGACACCTGGCTGACTGAACGTTAGAATAAACGTATCTTTCTCATTTTTTAGATCGAACTCAACTACATTACATGAACAATAGTAAAAGTCAGGACTGTCATCCTTGGGCTCCACTCATAACACTGGATCCCCAAAACGAATGATTTCTTCTGTACTTTAAACCGTTGTCGGAGTTCTTCTAAACAAGTACAGCATATCCTATGTGGAGCCCACAGTTTGTCTTGATTGCCTAGTCTCATCATGTAGAGTGCATAATAAACTCTTTTAATAAATTCAGAAATGTTTCTTTGTTGTTTTTTTTACAACATATTCTCCACAGATATAACAAAAGACAGCAGGCGAATTACGATAGCCTCTTGAGGTCATCTTGTGTGCTAATTGTCTATTACACCATCAGGAAATAATTTACTACCACTGCAGGACAACTGTACTTCCTGCAAAGAAATCTGTTTTGGAATAACAATCGTCTAATGAGTTCTAATGACAGTCGAGTTCAGTGGGCCTCGAGTTCAGCCAAATTGATCAGGGAATGTCAATTTTGGAGAAAATTGCCTGAACGGTTTAGGTGTAAGCTTTGACCGGTCAGACAGAAAGGTAGATTTTTGCCTTAAGAACATCCTAGAAAAAAATCTAGTGGTGACAAGTCTGGGGAATGCAGGCAAGCAGTGTTTTTGCCCCCGCCAGAAGCACATACTTCCTACCAACTATTTTTGTTAAAATTTTATTACTAAGTCTCTTTAACACATCAGATATTAAAGGGATCTTACCAAGCTGAAGTAGCAAAAGCAGTTTTATTTTGATCCATTATATACTTGTAAAAAAAAATCATAAAATATAGAAAATTGAAAAGCAAATTTCATAAAAAAAATACAGGATTTGTAAAGCCTTAGAATTTGCTTGGTGATTTCAAACACTGCAATCAGCTCTCTGAAGTAAATTGGAGAGCAGACGTTAAATCTTCAACTTACTGAGCAGGAGTTAGTGCTGGGGCTCTGTAGAAGTTAACACCAACTACCAGGCAGGTGAGTTAAGCAGTACATTTAAAATTTCTGTTACTCGCAATAACTCAAAAATTCACAAAATTATTACCTAACGTATGACAATACATACTTCATTGGACTCATAATTTTATGCCCGTTATGACAATTTAAAAAAATAAGTAGAGTTTTACTTGAGAGAAAAAAAAAAGTTACATCTACAAAAAATATCTTGTAAAATACGAATGACAAAATTATATCACATACATGTAAATATTAGCCCATTTTCCTGGGACACCTCCATGAAAACAGCAAACAATATCTTCAACATTGAGAAATTACAGGAGATGATAGTAATGAGATTCACTCTGTTTATTCACATTCATTTATGTGATATGTTTATGTTCACTCATTAAGTTGTTCTAAAATTGACTATTATAAAAAGCCAACACTGCATCAAATGTGCAACAAAATTAAAATTATATCAATACAAACCTGAAAGTATAATTGGTTCCACACTGTTGTATTCCCTTAGTACCCACAGAAACAACTTAGCAAGATCTAAGGAGTAAATGAATTGTCGGAGAGGTTTTCCACTTCCATACACTGAAAAAACAGCGTTTGATGAATCATCTGCAATTTGAATAAAAACATATTTTATTTTTATTGAGATTTTTATCCTTGTTTAAAACAAAGGAGAGAGCAATCGAGAGAGGGGGGGGGAGAGAGGGAGAGAGGGGGAGA